CACGCAATAGAAAAATGAAACTTAAACATGTGTCTCGTGACCTTCACTGTCTGATATACCTGTCAAAATCCTCCCTAATATTGTTTGAGATACCTGATGAGTACAAATTGATTGAGTGTTGCCCAAGTCATAACCCTGCATCCTATAATCATGGGAGTACTTCATGAGTACAAGGATCGACGATTCTCTAGGTAGAGGGGGAAGTTGTGGTCGTCCTTCTCCAGGGGTCTTCAAGACATTGTAGTCATTCTACTACTGGCCAGGTCATACTTTTTCACTGAATCTACCAGTTGTCACACTGTGGCAGAGTAAGAGAAAGCTCTAAGAGTCAGGAAATGCTGATGACCTCACTGGGTACCCATAAGGTCCCTGGAGTTCTCATTTCCTCCACCTCAAACACTGGTAAACACAACACCTGACTTCACGGAGCCAAGTGGTGGGCTGCTCACTGTCCCTGTGGCTAGCACATAAATTGCTTTGAGTATCAAGGTCTCTTTTAATCCTTGAGTTTATCAAAATTTTAATGTTAATCAGATTTACCTGATGTAAGCCTGATCTTTGGCAGTTATTATCCCAAAACAGTAATAATCAAAATGTTGAAAAGCCAACAGTGAGAGTTTTCTGATGGGCTAACTTAAATAACCATCTGAGAATTCTCTGGTAAGTATGTAAGTGGCACATACCTGCCACTTAGGGATCTCCAATATGCTGGGGCTCACTCTGCCATACAGTGAAAACTCAGTGCGGTCTCCTAAGCCAGAATATCAAGTCTCTCAAAGTCTTGAAACAGGAGGTGGCCAACATGTGCATAGACCATGTTATGCACGTAAGCTAATAATAGTAAGTACATGCATAAATATATATATATATATATATATATATACACATACATACACACACACACATGCATAATCTGTTACCTCTGATTTACCTGAAATTTTGGCATCATGGAATGTCAACTGACTTTAAACTGTGACTACTGGAAACTCCTTAATGGAGAGACAATAAACTGGCAAAGAAGTAGGCATACGTGCCACATTCTTACTGGCTATCTGACATACTGTCTTCAGGGTTAAGAGATACCAGCATTCTTAGATCACGTTAACAGAGCACCCCTTCCCCAAAGCTTCCCTAACAAAAGCTGAATATACTGACAGAATGTGGATTATAGCAAAGATTTTGCAAAGTATTCATTTTTAATTTTGAAGAGTATCCTTATTTAACATGTATGAACCTAAAAATATACCCAAACCAAATGTTGATGCATTGTAAGAGTTGCATGTTATGATTCTCTCATTGCATCTGGTAACTGCATGCGGTTAGCTACACTTGGTACAACTAGATACAGCTTGACATATTCTGGGATTTATTAAAATGTAAATGACAAAGCAGAAAAGAATGTTAGACAATTGGATTACTCCATTGACTGAATGTTCCAATACTGTATCTATTTTTGTCAAAGCAATGGTGGCTCCTGCTGTGGGATGCTGAATGGACTATTCCATTGCAGGGCACAGGGAGAGCTTGCATAAAAGAAATTGAAATCTAATCATTTAATTTTTAATTCAGCTCTCCAAAAGCAATAGAATGTCAATACTTTCTAGAAGAAATTATGGCAATTTTGGTATATATTTATTGGAAGAATAGGATTCCAATCTATTTTTTCAGTGTCTATTATTGAATCTGTAACTTCATTCATGAAAACACTGATGTATTTGCTTGTTTTTGAGCTTGGCCTTGGCTTGTTTTCGTTATGAACATTATGTGAAGAGCATGGATATATGTGATATGGCAGTGAACGTACACAATCCAAGAGAGACATTTTCCTGATGAAAACTGCTATTATTCATTCCAGAGAAGAGAAGGCTGAGAGGTAGGTGTCTTTAAGGACATGAAGGGATTGAGTTTAGAAAGAATGGAAGCCAGCTGTTCTTTCTCTCCACAGGGAACAAGAGAAAATGGGATTAAACTACAGCGTGAGGGATTTGGAATCGAAATGAGAATTTCCCAACTGTGTAGACTCTCAGTGAAATGCTTTTTGAAGGAAGTATGTGGACATTCGTTTTTATTTTGATGCCTTCGAAAAATGGAAAGGCACATTTTCTCTCTGGGGTCTTAGGTGGATGGAGAACAGTGGACTAGATGATTTATAGTTCCTGGATTCTCTTGATCCATGAGTAGAACCTAAAAACAGCATGGTGATAACTAAAAGAGATAGCTATTTTTATACTAGTTATTTTGAATGTCAACTTTTCTCATGGGGATAGACTGGCAATTTTTACCTGCAACTGTAAAATATTAAACTAAATGGGATGTCATGGAATCAGGTAGGTGGGGACAGAGAATGTGGGAGCATGATGCACTATTTTATTTTTTCTTTTCCCTACCATTTCAGGTATTGAGGAATTCAAGTTTAAAGACAAAATGTCCTTCCTAGTTATGTGTGGAATTTACCATGTGTATGTTGATTTTTGAATTCATAAGAATGTTGCAACATCTTGAGTTGCCTCTTTAGAGTTTATACCTACACACACACACACACACTTTTAAAAAAGAAGTTGCATTTTAACAAAATCAATCAATAGTGCTCACTAATTCACAGAGATATTTGAGTACATAGGATTCAAAATGGCACCAATTCAATTCTTGCTTTTAAAAATTATGAGCACAGTAAATGCTTATTGTCTCTTGATTGAAGATAATTATATTTTCCATTTCTCTGAGACAGTTTAGGGTAGCAGGAGTGCTGTGTTAAAATCAGAAACCTTAGGTTAACTCTTATCTCAGTCATGAACTGGCTATGTGACCTGGACAACTAACTTGGTGACAATGTATTGGTTTATATTCTGAGAAATAAAAAGCAAAAGGAAGGCATATTCAATGAGTAATTTTCAAGTTTTTCCTTTTGGGTAATATACTTTCAGCCGCCAATACCAGGAACTCTTAGTTTTTTTTTTTTTTTTTTTGTTTGTTTGTTTGTTTTTGAGCTCATTTTATTGTTGTATCCTGATAGGATGAGAGTTATCAATTTTGGCTGAACATTTCAATCATCAGGGGGAATTTTTTTTTTTAAAAATCCAAAGTCCCAGATATATTCACATCGATTAAGTCAGAATCTTTTGAGAAGAGACCCAGGTATCATTGTTTTTTAAACTCCTTAAATAGAGTTAGAATGTACAGCCAAGGAAGGGAACTCTTGCTTTGGGTGTAATGCAAGGAGGAACTAAAATTATTATATTACTGTCATTCACCGTGAATAAAAATATCATGTCTATCCTGTTCCCTCCTACATCTCTAAGACCCAACAAAGTGCCTGGCATATCCTAGGGGCTCAGTAAACAATATTTTTTTAGTAAACTTTGACTAATCCCCTAAATGAAATTTGGTTTATCAAACTTGATATCCCCTGGATAATTTCCATTTTGACTTCATTCACTGAATAAGACTGCAATACTCTTTGCTTGCCTGTACAAACATCAAAGGAAATTAAAATAATAGGTAATCCTATGCAATGATATCATTCACCTATCCTTAGGATGAAAGTAAGTAAATCATCTATCATCAGATCCTCTAGAGAAGGTGCTCTTTCTAATCTGAAGGGACATTTCTTATAAGACTCCCCATGCCCAAGTGAAAATAAATAAAACTATATATCTTTAAGTATTCAGATATATCATTCATTCAACAGATATAAATGAAGCATTTATATTGTGTCAAATATTGTGATTGGCTACTGTGCACTGTCTCAAGCAGACCTTTATGCTACAAGTGAACCCTAATGCCCTGGGAGATGATATAGTGTTTGTTATACATCATCCTTGGGATAATTGAGAGATTAGTCATTCAAATCATGTTCTTGTGCTCTATGGAAGTCCTAGTTTAAAAGGCTGCAAATATAGAGGATGAAACAACCAAAAAACATAGTAGTTATCTTCCAGAACAGCACTGTCCCACAGAACTTGGTCATTGATAGAAGTGTTTTATAACTATGGTGTTTGTTAGGGCAGCCACCAGTTGTACGTGGCTATTGAGCCCTTGAGATGTGGTCATGGCAACCAAGGAACTGAATCTCTAATTTTACTTAATACTAATTGATTTAAATGAAAATAGCTACACGGGAGGGGTGGCTTCCATGTTCAACAGTGCAGCTTTAGATTCTCATACTCTAATAGAGGAGACTGGAACAAGGTCATCACAATCCTTTCTGGGGAGTGCTAAGCGCGGAATGCTATGAAGGCATCTGGGAGCCGTCAGTCCTAGTACAATGGTTCAAGTGAAGCCTTTCAAGAGAAGATGGCTGCTGGAATGAGATCAGAAATCACATGATGGAAGTTTGACAGAAGTAGCAGAGAGAGTACAAGAAAGTGATGTCAGTGAGAAAGCTGAGAAGATAAAAGGAATGTTAAGGAAAGGCAAAGATGGATGCCTCATGCCTACAAAAGGAGGGGGAGAGAGGAACTGGAGTCCAGAGAGGACTGTTTGAGCCAGGATCCAGGACATAAAGGGCGTTTGGTATCATGATATGTCAAGGGCAAAAGGCAGCAGTAAAGAGTTTGAAACTATGTGATGATATGATCATGTTTGTGATTTAGAGATTGCCCTGGTGCCACTTGGCAATATAGAAGGAAACACTGGAGTCACTATGCAATGATCCAGGAAAGAAATGAGGGTTGTCTTTACTAAAGCAGATGATGAAGAAAAGTAGACATATTTGAATAGCAGAAAGAAGGAATGGTCAAATGGATTACCTGAATGATCAGCCAGGGCAGTTGGAAGGGGAAAAGACAAGGACCACATACCTTGGTGTCTGACTTGGGTGGATGATAGCACTATTTATTTAAAAGTAACATAGGATCATTTGCAGATTGCCTTCTAAATTTAAATTTTCTTATCACATTAAATTATTTGCTCCTCATGGATCCTGAAACCAGCTTTGATCCATACTAGTGAAAACAATTTATGAGAACATACTTTTCCAAGAAATCAACACAAGTTCAGAGTTGATGCAATATTTATTTTATTGGGAATTAGGGACATAGGACAGAATCTCATAAAATGTCAACAAACTCATGCCTTGTGCTTGGCTCCCCTTTTATTAAAAACCCTGTTTATTTATGACCTCTCAGTGTAAGATATGGCCAACAGTCATCATTTTGAAAACAGAATGACCAGAGCCATGAGAAGAATGCAATGTGACAGGACAGATACCTAAGTGAAAATTTACCACAGGTAAATATTGAGGCACTTCCAAACATTCAGACTTCTGCTCCTCAGTAGATCCAGCTTAACTGACTCCTTCAAGGCACATTTGCAGTTCAAACCTCTATGTTATCCAGAGGATCACTTCAGTAAGCATTCCTAGATGCCAACTGAATGCAAAGGAGCTGGTAAAGAAGAGATACTCCTCAGTTCTAGCTTTTTTTGGTCAAGGTATTCTTGAGGTAGTTTCATGAATGAGTGAGAATTATAATAACAAGTGACTAGATATTTTAAAAAACGTAAGTACTATTGAAATAGTCATGTATAAACATTCATGCAAAAGTACTTACTAATGTATACTGTGCCTAAAATTGGTAAAGAAGATGGTTATCAGAAGATTTGATCTTTGCAGGTGAACTGAGCATTCCAAATAACTTGAGGATATCATTGAAGATATTGTACAAATTTTGGCCACTGTGTGTTCTTTGGGAATGGATGTTGGCCATTTATGGGTCTAATGTTATATGCAGAGCTAGCTACATTTCACACTGAGGGATGCCAAAGAGGTGCAGAATTGAAGCAGCCTACTAAGTTCAATGCTCCCTGATTACCTAGATAGAGTTTCCTTTAATCAAATTCAAGGTTGTGCTTCATTTAGGTAGGATGGAGTAGTAGTTCAAGAGCATTGAGAGTGGACTGGAGGGCCTGGTTTCTGTTCCTTGCTCTGCCACACTCACTATGTGACCTTCTGTAAGTCACTCTAAACTTTAGATTTATCTTGCCTATAAAAAAAAGATACTGTGATAAGTGATTAAGCCCCTCCTCTTTTTAAAAAATATTTGTGATTTCTTACAGAACAAAGTAGAAAATCTCATCAAAATTTGCCCCCCCCAAAAAAAGAAAGAAAAGAGGAAAAAAAGAGAAATGTCTAAAATTCTTCAAGGTCTACTCTCCCAATTTTGTACAACATTCTATTACTCTAATGTAACTCTACTGTAACTCTAGTGTAACTAGAGTGATAGAATGTGTTTTATGATTACTAAAAATCCTAAAGCTGAAAAAGTTGAAGTGCTAACTTAAAAAACCCACAACTATTTGTTGATAGACAACTATCAAGTAATATTAAAAAATGGTGATCCTGTTGACATTGATCACAATATTGTGACTTCGTGCTTGAGATCATGAGCTTTGCAATCAGAATTCTGATTGTGAGCCTCCTTACCTAACACCTTGGCAAGTTCTATCACCTCATTTAACCTGTTTTGTTGCCTGTAAAATGGGGATAACAGTATCTAATTTGCATAGTTGTTTGAGTTTATATGGAAAATGCTTAACATACAGTGAGAACTTAGTAAATACCAATTGTTATTAACAGAAAAATCATGAATTCTCCATATTATCACCAATTACCCTCACTTGCTTTAACAGAAAAGAAATTCAATTATAATTCTAGGTGATGCCTGAGGTTGGAGAGGGGAGGTGTGTGTACACACTTTATCAAATACACAGGGACAAGTGCTGAATGTCTGGGGTGAAGTCATCATCTCCTAACTACACCATATATCCGAATTTCCTCTTTCTCGGCTTTGCTCATAGTGTCATGTCAAACTACAGGTCTCTGTTTTCTCCTAACTTTCAATTTTTCTAAATTTTTGAGTCCTTCAAAATTCATCTCACATTTTCCTCTTTGGGGAGTTTTCTTCCCCAAAAGGTCGGTCCACTCATCTCGTGGTAATCTTCTTTGAGCTCATTATCTACATCTTTTGTTCTACTTTGGCTCTTATCATCCTCTGACCCAACCTGTTTCTCCTCTCTTCAAAAGTTTATGTAACTTTGCCTAACTAGATTGAAGCTTCTTACAAGCAGGGACCAGATCTCATAGAACAGAGCTTTTGTCCTAAAAATAATGGTTGGTGGGTTGGTGTCAGGTGAAACAGTGTGGTATTTCTATGCTGCCCTATGAATCTTTTCTGTTATTTGATCCTTCAACTTGCCCATGCCTGCCTTGCTATTTCTAAGGTACTTTTCAATTTTCTGGTTGCTCTGAAGAAGAAACTACTTGTGGCTAAACATCATTCTCCTTATTGTATTGATTTTGTTCTTTAGGACATTAGCACATTTGTGCCCATTCAGATTCTAGTACTAGTGCATTAACAATTATGTCCATAGTAGGAAAAAAAATGAATGTCACATGAATTAAAATACAAACAGAGGAATACACACAAGGAAGGGAAAGTTCTTGGCTCATCAGAGATCTAGATGTCAGTACTGGGTTTTTCTGTTTCTTGGAAAGATTGCTCTTATTCTGAGGGTTCTATTGGCCGAAACTGCACATTTGGGTGTACTGCTGGACAGGAGAGATGTCTTCAGGTGGACATTTTCTTTGTCTCAACTTCACAGTTGACGTGAGGTTCCATCAATATAGCAGTCTCTGCAGTCTTTGTCCTTTCACTGGGGAGACATTCCTGAGGAGGGGGGCTATAGGATCAGCTGAAAGGAACATCGACAAAACTAAAAAAATAATAGAACATGTCACACAAAGTTATCGCATTGACTCTTTAATAAAAATGAATAAATGATACTTTGGGGAGCATGCTATTTCTAACTACAGCTGAGATGCTTGCTTGCATCACCAGAAAAAACAGAACTCCCATTCATTGTTCAGCTTGCTCAAGAATCAGTCAAGCAGTGGCATCACCTGTGTGTGTGCAAGAGTAGCACTCCAATCACTCTGGGGGATACGCTGTAAGAAAAGCTTCAGGTTTAATTCAATAGGAAGTTGTTGAAGTAGAACACACAGGAAAAGAACAAAAGGCCACAGGACACTGAGGACACATTGAAATAAATCCAAGAACTAAAGGCAAGATAAACTAGTTGTGGGTAGATAACTGCACAGTAATGTAGGAGTGAATGAAGTCACTAGACTGTCAGGTGTTAACTGTGAGTCCCTTGTATTTGTCTTGGTATTTCCAGTGCCTGGCACAGAATGTGGCACACAGCACTGAAAGAGCAGAAAAGAGAGAAAGAAGGGAGGGAAGAAAGAAAGGTTCCTCAAATCTTGAGGCAGAGGGACAGCATGTGCAGAAAAGAGAAGCAGGGTGTAAATTTATTGAAGCCGTGAAAGCTGGGGGAAGCAGATTCATAGTATTCAAGAAGACACTCCACAATCTGAGTGTTTTTAGAAAACAGGGTGGAGTAATTTCCAGGTGGTTTTGAACATGTCAAGGTTTAATTTGGGAAGTGTGGTGTGTTGATGCAACTGCTGTAGGCTTTGATTCCAATGAATCGAGGGAAAGGGGGAATGTGAAACTCAAAGGCATCAATCCAACAAACCACACTACAAGTAATTACATGAAAACAGAAGCACTAAAGAATAGGGCTTTACTACAGAAAGGCAGGTGCTTGTCTGAATTTCTTCTGCATTCATGTTGAAGGAAATGAGCTTAGAACTCAGATCAAGAATTGCTTCTCCCACTGTGCAGCTTGTTTCATTCCTCAGCTGTTGCTCTTTTCTGTCACTGCCCCTTCCTGAAAATGAACTCCAGTCTTTACTGCTTTAGCATGAAGGCAAAATATGTTAGTAGATTCAGACCCCGGAGGCGGAATCAAATATAACTTTAGAAGGGCAACCGTTGGTACAATAGACTCTGGATTTACAGGTCCTGAGCTTGTTCCTATGCCACGTACTAGAGAATAGCCTCAAAAATTCTTAGAGCTGTCAAAGAATGTAGAGCCTGACTAATCCACCTCACTCATTTTACAGATGAGGATATTTGAGAAGAGTTGCGTTAATGCTTCTTTTATTCTGCAAAACTTATGGTGAATGAAATATATTTTGCCAATGGATTTTGATTTAACCAAAGTCTTTACTGCCAGCCTCTTCTTTATGCTCCCACAAATAGAGATGCACCAAAATGGATATATCATGACCCATCACTGCTCTCTCCCCTAAATCCTTTGAGCATACTGAGGTTCTCCAGATGGCAGGAACAATATTGTTTTATTCCAAAAAATATAGATAACTTAGGGGTAAATATTGTGAATAGGTATTCTGCTGTTCTAACCAACCATAAGTAACTGATCCTGGGTAAGTAAGTCGCTACACATCTTAGAAGATTTTAAAATTTATTATTTTGTGAACATTGTCAGAAAGGATGGGGTGCTAAGCTTTTGATACACATTTGTGAACAAATTAAAATGCTATTTATTAAGGAAGGACTTGCATACAATATTTTTGTGACTCATTTGAATGGTCAATAATGGAAAGACCTTGAATATATGAGCAGGTAGAAAGTAAAACAAGGTATTGCTTTGGTGTTATATAGAGATAGCACATGCAAAATGTCTCATATAATATAGACTCCATTATCAAAATTAATTTTGAGGAATAAACAGTATAAATATGTGAAAGACCATATTTAGCGGTCTATTATGATTTAGATATCTTATAAATCAGCTTTATTCAGGCTCTGTGCCTACTTAATTGGAGTAATAACCTGTATCACCTCAACAAGAGGCTCCTTTGAAATCCTTTTGTCTCCTGAATGCATGACATGAAATGGGACTCTTATATCATCTTGCTCAGGATCCTTCTGCAATCCAATGGTAATGATTCTTTGAATTTGCATTAAGAAACTCTTCACCTACCGAGCATATGGTAAATGTCAAGTGCCAGGCTGACCAACCAACTCAATGTGGCTTTGCCTGGGCTTTTTTCCTTAATAGGTAAATCTTCAGGGGTCAGATTCTTGGAGGGGGCCTCTCCAGTTGAGCCATAAGTAGCTCTCTGGTGTCATGTTGAGACCCCAAAAGGGAAGTTGATGTTAGTGCATAAGTGACCTAAAGCAGAGTTTCAGTTACTCATCTTGTGGCATGGAAAATGGAAGAAAAAGAAAATAAAAAGAATTGTTTATTATCGTTATTATTTTGATTAAATTAAAATTATTTTCTCTGCCCGAGGCCATTTTTTTGGCATTTTATCTCATTATTCCAACAAAGGAAATGGATTTCTTACGAATAAGATTTACTATTCTAATATCCTCCATTACTTCAAGTTGTCCAAACTCAGGATGAAGACCAAATCAATAAAGAATAGCAAATATTTCACAAATAATGCAGGTGTCCACAGTGATAACCCTTTTAGAGATCATTAATTTCCAGCATTGAGGTTGCACACATTCATTCTCTCACAAGAACACAGACTGTAGAGTCCTTTTATTCTTATGTCAATTAATGAGGAATTTAAAAAGAATAAGCTGACTTGAAAAACATTCTCCTCAGGAACTGTTTCAGATGATGAGAAATGCCCAAGGGTGGGAGGTGGGGGGGGGGTAGAAACTCAAGTAGGCAACATGTAAAGCAACACACAACTATATGCACATTAGTATAATTACACATCGCAAATTATATCGGATGTATCTAATATCTAATTTTTTGAAAGCTGATTCCACTTGAGGCTTCAATAACAGCATCAACATTTTGCAGGTGGCTCCTTCTGTATAGTATCCAAAGGGAATTATTCCTCTAATGTGCTTACAGTCCTCAAGTAAAAACTGCAGCTCTCTCTTAAAATGAACAATGAACACGGGGAATATCACCTTGATAAAGGAGAGGGGGAGGGCTCCACCCTATGTAATATTTATTCTGTTCCTTCTGTGCACATGATACTTGCCCCAAGTAATAAGGAACTTAAACATGAACCTCACTGGAAAATGCAGAAGAGGCTACATATAGATTCTGAGGCCTGATATGATAAGATAAAGGATCGATTATTTTTTTAGATTGAGGGATAAGAGACAAAAGTGAAATAAAATGGCATGTTGTACCTTTGATTGAAAACAGAAAAAACTCCACGTTCAGTTGAGCTCTTTTAAAACATACAATTAATTTGTCCTAAAGAGGACACCAGATCAAAGCTCCACTTTGAGGATCAGGCTTTTGTCCTCATTTTTCTGTGTGAATCAATCATCAAATAACCAAAATATATTTATGATCTTGGAGAAGGAAGCATATTATTCAACTTGATTGGATCCATTTTCTTGATTCCTCCTTAAAGATCTTTCTGCTAATTAGTCAGGGTTACTATTGAATTATTTAATTATCTGCACTTTTGTGCAATGAAATATGTTGTCATATCACATACTTTATCATACTGTTGCTGTTCACACTTAATGATGCCTCTATAGTTAGCAGTTTCCTTTGTTCTGCTCTGTAAGTGGTTTTAGAAAGGGGGTGGGCGGGGAAGGAGGAGCCTTGGGGTTTGTAAAATAAAATCATACATTCCTGGTGCTCATGCAAAACTTTATGCATTTACATGAATTTCGCTTCAGAAATTAAGTTGCAATTCCATTTGGAATAAGTTAAGAGGCACATGTCGGTGACTTTGAATGCAGTCACAAGGATATAACTATACCTTGACATCTCTCTAGTGCATATCCACTGCAGTGCAATGTAAAAGGAGGATTTAATTTTTTTTTAAATCAGCAAGGAATGTCTTTAACAAGGAAGAAGTAAATTATGATAATTACTCTGAATGGTCGGATCCTTGAGCATTACTAATTAGCATTTATTGCCTGGATTATAGAACAATACATGTGAAACCGAACTGCGATTGCTCTTTTACGTTGAAGACTTGAAAAGGCAATGGAGCAAAAAGGCAGCAACATCGCTAGTTTACTTGGTAGCTTACATCTCGTTGGTAGTATGCAGAAATCCTTATTTTGGAAACACATAAATGTGGTCCTCAATATCTATCTGGTCCAGCCATTTTTTTGTTTTAGGCACATATTTGCATATAATATCATAATTACGGTACAGTAATGAGAGGAGAAGCATTTTGGTTAAGATATCATTTGGGGGTAAGTTTATCAGTTGTGAGAGCTTGAGAATATAGAGACTACAACTCGCTGCTGCATAAAAATATGAAATTTTCCTGGAGAAGTTTTCACTTAAAAATGAAACAAAGAACTCAGTTCTTAATGAATACAATTTTACATTCACTTCTCCGCTTTCTCTTAGAAGAACTACAGTTGAAAAATAACTGAGGCAATTTGTTTCTGGCTTAAGAGCCCCCCACCCCCCCTTTTTTTTCATTAAAAATTTGCAATAAAATAGATTGTGAAATTACAAAAAAATTAGATTTAATCAACAGACCAACACCAGTCACGTACATAAATGCCACTCGCATAATCTAACCACTGAAATTCTTAAATAACCGGCAGGTAGTAGGAGAGAAAGAGGAAAAATGAACCATTCATCATCCTCAAGGCGGTCTCACGGTTTTCCTCCACACCCCATTATAGCGAAGGAAGAGAAAAGAACATCGTAAAGCATAAAGCCAGTTCTAAATACAGTCACTAGTCTTCCCAATACCTTCCATGCCTTCCCCACCCTGATCCTTTTTAGTTTGAAAGAATAAGTTTGACTAAATCTGTGAAGAGATTAAACAGGCTGGTGATAAAAATTAATTCTGCTGAATGAGCAAATGCATTTGGATTGCAGAGATGCAAATA